CCATAGAAATTCATAAGTTCTAAATTTTAGATTTTCGAAACGTGTTATTTAGTATATAAACAAAAGTTTAAAAATTAGTACTTAAGTAAATAGACGTATTCACAAGGAACATATATGGTTATCGAAAATAACTTAATACGTATTATTAACTTTTTGTTCTCAAATTGCGGGTGAAATAATGGTAGCAATACGTAACTGAACGAAGCTGAAGTAAATTTTTCGATATTTTAAGATAATTTTTATTTGATAATTGTAAGAGAACATGTCCGAGTAAGTAATTATATCGATAACAATTATTGTTGTAATATAAATTTAACTTACCATCAAAAAACCTTTTTCAATAACCATTCGAAGGTTATGCAGTAAAGATTAGTTAATTGGGTATACACTATAAACTATTTGAAACATATTGTTACGTACCGTGTTATTTTACACATATATATTATACGGAGAGGTGATGTGTATACCGATGGAATAACATATTCAAACAGTGTAGTATCGAACAGCTATGGCGATCACCTGCACATCGTGATATTTAATATAATGAATAAGACATGATCACACGTCCTGGACTTCTCAGAAATGATGAGTAAACGATAGTGTTAACATTGTACTATTTAATATGACAATCAAGACTTGATCACACGTCTTGTAATTCTTAGAACCGATGAAATCGCAGGAAAGGCACCCAACTGAATAATACATTTAATTTAGAGAGCTCCTTTAGGTCATCGGAAGTCACCACCTCCTCAGTCACCACTCTTGACGGTTAACCATATATAAGGGAGACCAGGGCAAGAGCTCAGCAGACGGTTAGGGATATTCGAGACGCTCAGAGGCAGGTCGTAACACCACTCACGGTCCTGGTATGTAAGGACAAAATCGGTCTAGCCGTTTTGGAGAAGTTTGGTAATAGACTTTGTAATACGAGATTTTTATATATTAGAAGATGATGTAAGCAATAACCAAAATGTATAAACATTTTTGTAAAGTTAATTACCATATAATCTTTTCATACCAACCAGAAGAAATAAACTTTTGTATAGAGGTCAAAGTGTTTACATTTTTAACTTATTGTGTAACTCACTCATCCCATTATTAAATCTAGCAGTGAATATATGACAAACTACTATAGTTATATACATCATTACTTTTATGTTACAAAAGTATACTTGCTTGAAATACATTTTTAATTTAGATTAAAAATCAAATACAAGAAAACATTTTGAATTGAATTTTACTCACTAGACTCATTCTGGACTTCTTCAAATGTTAATAGTGAATCTAAATTCAAATAAATATATCTCTCAACATGATGATTATTATAAACCATAGTATGGTGGATTCCGTTCGTTCACAGCCTGTCGCGCTCTTTCCTCTTCTTCCCTAGCTGAAAGGATATTCTCCACCATGCGATAAAACAGCTTAACCCTACAATGCATGATTTTTTTTTTTTTTTTTTTTTTAATTTTTTTTTGGGTTGTTATATTACTCCTTATTAAGGGAAAAATACTTAATAATTTTTTTTGGTATTTTAAGTCCCTAAAAAACGAATTTTTTAGTTTGTTGCCTGTGAGCAACACTATGCATTTACGGGTACAACATAATTAATTATCAATAAATTTAAAAATGTATATCTTGAAAAGTTTTATTGTTTATTGATTAACTATAAATATAATAAAATAATTGTCTAACTTGCCAATTACAAAACAAAGTATAATTTTTTTTAAATTTAACATAAAGTAGTAATCAATGTAGTATCAATATGTAACAAAAAAATATATAGAAATAAAAATAATAAAAAATTAATAACCTTTTTGGTATAAACTTAGAACAAAAATGTAATTGACTGACCTGCCAATACATAACAAAATAATACAAAATAACTAATATAAGTAACAAAACAACTAATATAAGTCACAAAAAACTAAAATAATATCTTTTATGATAAATATTTATTTTTAATTATAAAATAAAATAATAATGAATTTTTATGTTGTATGCCTTTTATATGTTATATAAAAGTACAATAAAAACAGTCAAAAACTCAAAATGTCAGCAAAATGTACAACAAGTCGTAGAACAGCGATAGACAGTAAAACGAAAGTGGTTGTCTATTAGTAATCATTTGTTTATATTATCACATGATAACATAACGGGAATGCATAATGTTGCTCACAGGCAACAAAGTAAAAACTTAGTTAGTACAATACTACGAATCGACAAAATGTCAATTATTCTATACTAACTGACTTATTACAGTGTAGGAAACACAAAAAAATTTTTCCCAAAAGTATTATATAAAATATCACTGATTTATTGTACTGTGAAAATGCATACATCAGTGAAAAAATTGATAATGCCGATAACGATAAAACAATATTGAAAAAGCTTAAAATAAATATAATTAGTTATTTCCATACTATTATAATCACCATAAAATGAATATATACCATCTTAAGTACTTTTAAAAGTATTTATAAACATTTTACAAGAAGTATTTTAGATATTAGAGGCTATTATACACATTGTTGCCCACAGGCAACACCATGCATTGTAGGGTTAAATCGCTCTTCGGCTTCACTCAGGATGGCGTCCCTCCCGTGAGTGTCCACTGGCAGAAGCTCGAACGCCGGTCCGCAGATAATGTCCGGGACGTCGTCGGTGCTCGGTCGATGGCCAATCCTGGCCCTCAAGGGTTCGCGAAAGCCGTCCCAGTGGGGGCAATCGAACAAAGTGTGTTCGGCGGTGTCTGATTCGCCCGAGCACTGCCAGCAGCGCGGGCTGGCGGCCCTATTCATGCGATGTAGGTACCATCCGAAACAGCCGTAGCCCGTAAGTGCCTGTGTCATGTGAAATGTTAGAGGCACCCATGGGAAAAATTAAATTAATTGAAAAACTGATCTTGGAATGTTGGAATGTAGCGACGAGCGATTGATAAGAAAATGTATTTATGATAACTGATCCTACACCAACACAGATATAGATAATAAACTAGATTGTTAGGTTCCCTATACTAACCATATAATCATTTGAAGCCACACATCCGTCATTACTACTAGTAGGTCATTTGTATCTTATCATGTTATAATTTTTATAATACAATTTCTCACTGATTTCTTTTAGACAATAATGTTGGGTTTTATCGATTTCGCCGTTTTAATATCAGTTCCGTTGACTATCGATTCCGCCCGATATTTGTCTATATTAATTCCGCCGAGCTTTTTTATTTATTTATTTATTCCGTCGGCTATCATTTTCGTCGGATATTTGTTTATGTTGATTCCATTGACTGTATTTTTTTTTTTAATCAATAGTATAGGTATAAAATACACTCAGTTTACCATAATTTTTTAAATTTAAATATAAACATTTCAAACATTCTCGTAAGTAAAATGTATTAAAATAGTAAAATAATATGTTTTACAATTTATTTAAAAAACACTAAAAAAGCAAAAATAATATAGTAAAAATAAAAAATAATAGTAAATAATAATTAAAATGTAACAATAAAATATAATAATAATATTAATTGATTTATTTTTCAGAATAGTGCTTTGATGCCAGTTTTATATACTTAAATCTATCATTTTTTTTTTATTTAAATAGTCTTCAAAAATTGTTTCTGTATATTTTTTTTGTTCATAATTTGTATTTTTACTTATTGCATTATTATTGAGCTCTCTTATATTATATATGTATCAGTTTGAATTTTTAAATTTAATACATGCGAAAACAAACATACATTAGGATGTGCTTTGTTGAATTGAGTATTAAATTTTGAATGAAATGATTCGTAACTGTTTGTAGTTCGTTCCGAAGAAATTGAAGAAGATGCCTACATTTTTGGATTAAATTTTGATATTTCATCAATATAATTATTACTTATATAATCGCAGAATTTTTTTAACTTTCGGTTATCAAGAAAAACTGACAAAAATTTTTAGTAAAGCTTTCACTTCTTTTGCATTTAATCATGGCTAACCGAATATCCATTTCAACCACTGTCCAATTTCGCTGTTGAAATTATTGTATTCAATTGATAAATCTATAATATAGTTAAAATTAAATTTTTTTTCGCTCATCTATGTACATTTTTTGGTTATCTCTTAAAGTTTTTGGGTCGTTAAAATCCTAGCTTTACATATTAATAATAAAATAACGCAATAACGTTATTTTGCTCTAGATGTATATGAGTAGGAATTACGAAAATTTAGAAAACGCTTAATATCCGGTGTTTCCTATACATTAACACTGGTTTATTGAGAATATTTAACGTGCCCGATATTAACTATTTAATAGAGTCCTTGTGACATTGAATAATACCGTACAATATGGGTACAGTTTTCTTAGCATCGATAAAATACAATTTTGCGGGTACGTCGAAACGGTCAAATCCCCTCCTCCGGTCGAAATTGCGTAGCTGTTAGTCCTGTTTTGAAATCAAAAATGTGTGGATTTTGGATTTCACGCAGACCTCGTCGTAATCGGGGGGTAGAAGAGGGACGAAAATTCTAAGTACTGCCTACCTCACGCGTGTACTTGCAGCAACCCATTGGCAAGCGTACAATTAGTGAACAGAACTGCCGACGCGGACACGGCGGAGGTTACGACAGACCGCCTCGCCGCCGTGGAGCTAATAATAATACCTATACCGTTACGCGCGTTTGCGAAACTGCCGCCGCAGCCCTGCTAAGTAGGAAAAGCGCCGGTGCCAGTGATTTTCTATTACTGTACCGCACTCGTACTTTGCAATTTTATTTTTTTTATCGTTTGTTGTCACAATTGGCATTGACATTAGGATTATTTGGGTCAGCGATTTCCGCCGTATTTCGACACACGCGGCTCTACAAGATCGACGATCCGACCGTTGCTGCCGCCAGTGTGTGTGTGTGTGTCGCGCAGTCCGCACAAAAACCGCCGCCGCCGTTCCGTCAGCGAGTAGAAAATAATCATATATTATCACACAATTTTTTAATAAAACGTCGAATCAAATCGTCATGCGGTCTTCACAGGAAATTGTCCAAGCGGGGCGGCAAGTGTTCCCGTCGCCCGACTTCAGCTCCAACGGCACCATGGCCGCGGCCGTCGTCGAAGGTATAATACACAAACATGTACTCATAATTCGTCGATTAACTGACACAATCCGTCGGGTTATTCTCGATTGGGTGACATTTGACGGCGCTACGCGAAATTCGATTTAATTATCTACAGTAGGGCTTGCGGGGTTTGCCTTCGTTGAACCTGGACACATGGCATTGATTAATCATTTTCATTCAAATATTAGACACATGTATTCATAGTGTCCGTTTAAATTTCGTTCAAAAATTGTACATTCAAAAGAGTGAACGCCCAAGAAAGCACATTCCCGTGATTTTTCACAATGGCTTTATCGTTCATCGAGGTTAGCGTTGATTTTCGTTAAATATGCCACCCGAAAAACACGATTACTTTAAATGAGTATACAGTTGTATGTAACGTATCAATAAACAGTACTTCATTAAAATTGTTATGGTATATTATATCTAATACATATTATTTTCATATGAAACAATTCTAAATTTATGTTATTCGTAAGTTAATTCCGACACGTCCTTAGGCCCCTACGAAAAAGTCTAAACTTTCATATAAGCCTAATGTAGATGACTCAAATAACAGCTAATCTATTTTAATAGACAATTGCTACGCGGTCACTTTTGGATAATGCCCAGTAAAGGTACCTATCGATATTTTTGTAGAAATAGCTGTGGTCAAGATTAACGTGTGCGCAAGCCCGGATTTCGTTTCGCTGATAATTTTGCCCGGCTTTGCATCGACGCGTTTAAAAGAAATAACAAATATAATATATGTGGTTTTCAGTATTAGTTATTAATGTTTTTATATAAGGTACATAATGTCGGTAATTATTAAATAGTACCTATACAATTCTGAATTTAGAAGTCCGCAATTTAATTACTTTTTTTTTCCTATTCCAATTCGATGAATATTAATTAAATTGGAAAAATCAACGAATATCATAATAATCGACAGTTGCAATTACTTGTTAATGCATAGTAAAGTTTTGAAAATTTTGAAAAGCATAACAATATGTCATTAATTATAATACACAAAAGTAATATCTGGGTCAGACATTTTAAAAGTTTAATTTTTATAAATAATTTTATGTTTAATTGTTGTTACTAAATGTGAAAGTCATTTTACCAGATACATGAATCTATGAGTAGATTTCCAAGTATAATCATTATTGTTTTAAATAATTATATTTTTGATTGTTATACTAAATATCTGTAACAATAATTTTTAGTTATATTTTAGTAGCGTCGCAATATTAATAAAATTGAATAATATTGTGGAATATTATAATATTATAATATTTACTTTTTAAATTTAATAAGCAAAAATTGTTTTTAATTTTTCATTTAATAAAAATCAAAAGCATCAAATATTTGATCTGAAGTAAATTGTATTAATATTATCACTCATAAATAGATGCGTATTGTTTTTTAAATATATATACATACATTATATGGTAACAGTATAGGTGCCATTTTATGACTAACATTGTATTTAATATAAAAAAAAAAAAAAAAAAAAATATTTAATTAATTTACTTTACACGAACAAATTTAGTAGATAGATGTATCTATAAGATTTATGGTTTTTTTTCTTTTACTATCTACCCAAATATAATCAAAATATAAATATTTAAGTGATTGCTATTGGATTTCTGATTGAAATAGATGGTACTGTCAGAAGGCAATCTCTTTTCATTTGTTTGAAAATTATACTTTATATATATATATCCATAATACATTAGTCTTTAACTCTAAATGAAATGCTACAAAGTTTCAATAAAATCTTTTACCTGAAGTAAAGATATACATTAGAAATACATTAATAAAACGTATGATAATTATATTATAATGTAATTTATTTATTAATATAAAATTATGATTATTTCATAAATATGATTATACCTTAGTGATGTTCATATTACATTCGTTTATAAATTAGATAATTTAGATATTCAATATGGTATTTCTAAAAATTATTTTTGTTGTTATGGCATGCTGATATACCTACCTTCACATAACTTGAAAACATAATTTAGTTAGTAGGTACTTTGTATTAGGTATATTATATAGTAAATAATTATTTGCAGAAGTGGTTTCAAGATTAAGTATGGTTTCTGAGTGGGTTTATTTTTAAAGTTTAAAACTACTCCCGAATAAAGTTTTAATTAAATTATTCGATTGAATGCATTAAAAGTAGGTTTTTGATTGTAATTAACCTGATATATTGTAGTGATTATTTATAGTTCTATGTAAGAATTTTAAAGAAATACATTTGTGGATAAGTAGTTTTAAATGACATCTGTAATTTGGAAAATCTATCAAAAACTTTAACATTTAAGTAATATAAATAAAAATATGGAATGAAATATAAAATCAAATAGAAAATCTGATCTCAGAGTATACCTTTATTATTACCTATCTATTATTTCAATTTCGAAATCATTGTTAATTCTTGACAAAAAAAATTGTCGAAGAAGATGAGTTAACTATTGGAAGTATAATTGATAATAATTAAATTAAAAAAAAAAAACCACGCTTGTTTAATATTCAAAAATGTTAAGACTTTTCGTAGTATGTAGAATACATTTTAAATCCAACTGTTACTTATTCATATTTCGTTTAAATTTTAATTTTGAAACATATTTAGTTTTTTTTTTTAAATAAGATTACTGACAGTTAAGTTTAATTCAAAACCCAATTAAAATAGGAGCATTTATCAATTTGTTTTAAAAAAAATATTTTTGACAAACCTTGTGAAAATATTTAATATAAATTATCAAGGCAAAATCGTATTAAGCTATTTCAGTTTATAATAATATTGATTAGTCTTTGTGTATAGATGATGAAAGGATTATGTGTCCAAGCGAGATAGAGTGGTGTATATTTTGGCATAACAAACTTTATTTAAAAGTATAAATTATAATATTTATATAATTTGTTTCTCTTACGATCATAAATCTATATAAATATTTTCAAGGTTGGCAAGTGAACTATTTATTTTTTTAACTCTTTAATATAGGTAAGTGAGCAGTAAGTAAATGTTACGCTGTAAGACAGGTTGAGTGTAGGAGGTACACTTCATTGAATGGATCATCGTATATGCTACATTTTAATTCAACGGTAAATCATTGCTAACTAAAGATGATTTTAAGCGAAGATAGATTTCAGTCTATATTATTCAGTTTATTTTATTACATTCTTATACTGCTATTACAGAATTTATTTTATTATTACTAATTTAGTAGATTGGATAAAATTAAGCCGATAATATCATATTTTCTTAAATTATTAATTAATACGAATGTTGTAATTAGTTTTTTGTTTAATTTATTATTAATGACTTTATTGATTAAATACTGATTTACTCTAAAACGGTATAAACAGGTTTAAATATTATTGCATATAATAAAATCTATCAATATATGTAAAAGTTTCAAGGTACCCATGAATAATTTTAAATTACAACAAAATAACTAAATTTGATGCCTAATTTCGTCCAGTTTAGTATTCACAATATATAATAACATTATAAAATAATATTTATGATTTTTTCCAATACAATAATTATTTTTACCTACTAATAAAAATATATTTTGATTCTTTGTGGTTTTATTGTTCATTTTATTAATTAAAATTAACTTAGTGTTTATGTAAAATTAATTAACTGATAAATAACCACAAATTATAGAATACATATTTGAAGTAAGTTAGAAATTACTTTTTTCTCGTGAATACCTAGCTTTGAAATCTTACTATCATACAGTTAATGTGAAAATAAAACGATACATTACTTATATGTATTCATATATTTAAAAAAACAGAAATGTATAGTCATTATTGCCCATTATAATATCGCATAACAACAAAACAGATGTCGACTGATGACCAGCATATACACACTCATGTTAAACGCAGAATATTTTTGAATTTATAATTTTAGTGTGATGTACCACCGTCTTCAAGCCACTTATACGTATGAGCGAAGGGAAGAAAATTTGCAGATTGCTATGTATAATTTTAAATCTCAATAAAGTAATCAATGATAATAGAGATTGAAATAATTTACTTATCAGTTGACAGTTGTTTTTATGAAAAATATTTCACTGAAAGCGTGGGTGCTTATTGTCTATATATTTGAAATACTAATATTTATTATAATATCTTCAAACTGTTTATTTTGCAAAATACAAATGTTTTAAAATTTAGTATTTCATGGCCAGATCTTACGTTGAGGTTTAAAAACAATGTATACATCTGAAATTTGAATTAAGTATATCTACTTTTTTGGAAATTAGGTTTTAAAAAACCCGTAGAGAGCCTTTCCTTTTTTTTTTATTAACAATTAAATAATTTTTTTCGTGCATTTCATATTTGAAAAATCGTTATAATAAAATGAATTTTATTTATTTAAAGACAGTTGTGCATTTGGATCGACAAAATACTTTTTGCTTTGCGGGCTCGGCGGTTTCTTGTCGTGTGGTATAACTCACGCAATGGTCACACCCCTGGACTTGGTGAAATGTCGCTTACAAGTCGACCAAGCCAAATACAAGAACGTTGTTCATGGTTTCAAGGTTAGTATAGAAAGTAACATATTTTAATACGTTGCAAAGAAAACATAATAAAAAAAAAAATTTTTTTTTTAACAACGACGTATACATAGGTAACACTAAAAGAAGACGGTGCTAAAGGGTTGGCCAAGGGATGGGCGCCCACTTTCTTAGGGTATGCCGCTCAAGTAAGTCAGATTAAAAATAATGTTTCGTGCTTAAACATGAGTTTATAATCGGTGGTTCTCAATATTAGGGCATGTGCAAATTTGGATTGTATGAAGTTTTCAAAGTGCATTATTCGGAGATGATTGGTGAAGAGAACGCATACGTGTACAGAACAGCGTTGTACTTAGCTGCATCCGCATCTGCCGAGTTTTTCGCTGATATTGCACTCAGCCCAATGGAATCTGCAAAAGTAAGCTACGTAATATTAATTAAATTAAAATATAGTTAACCAAACACACTGGACCAATAATACAATTAAGTAAAATACTAAACGTTTTTAAAAATTGAAGTAAAAATAACTTACAAGGATTTTAGAAATACATTTTTAAGCCCTTAATTTATACTTTAAAGTATAAATATTGAAAATTGTATTAATAGTATTAAGAATTTATATTTTTCCATACTTTTGAAAAATGTTGTAAACATTTTAAAACATCTATAAATAAAAATATTACTGTATTTTTAATATTTTTAATTGCTCTAAGAATCATTTATAATAGACCTTATACTAAATATTGAAGCATTTTTTTTTTTTTTTATAAATAAAATATAAAGTAAAAAATGTCAAATATATATATAAATAGAATCAAAATACTAAGAATATTATATCATGTGTAAAAAATAATAATACATTTCAAGTAACTATGGTTTTTCATTTTTTGTATTACAACAAAAAAAAAAATCTACTAATAAAAAATATCAAATTAATTTTAAACTCTCATAAAAAATATTACTAGAATTATTTTCAAATTTTTTTGCTCAATTCCATCAATAATAACTTGTGAAGAATTTGTATCAAATTTTCAAATCTTATTTATTAGTATTAAAAATACTATGCATTTTTACCTACAAAATTAATTTGCAAATTTTCATAATTTTATCAAAATTCTTACTTTAAACAAAATGTATTTGTTTAATTTACTGATTAATGATAAGCATAAAAAATAAAACAATAAATAGATGATACCCATTTTATAATGTTTCTATTTTAGAGTTAACAAATCTTAGCTACTTAATACTTTAACCAATAAATCATTCTATTATACTTGGGTTAAACTTATAACGCAGGTCAAATTAATTACTTATATAATTATTGATGTAACAAAAAATATGGTAGCTATGTATAAGCTAACATATTGATTTTTTTTATGTAATATACAGAGTTATTTTTACTATTGGTAATGTTAATATTCATTATATTTTTGATTGCATACACAAAATTAAAACATTAAAATTAAATTCCATTATAGTTAAAAAAATATATTTATGTATTAATACTTGCCTTTAATGAATACATAGGTCTGTTTATTTTGGCAATTAAATTATAATGAATTATAAAATTTTTTGACGTAATAAAAATAATAATTTATACATTTTAAGGGATTAAAAGCAGGAAACACGGACACACTAGGTGTGCCACTAAACCGTACTTTCTTTTTAAAAAAAAAAAAAAATGCGATTTTACATCACTATGACATATTTCTACGTACACTACAGTTCTACTTATTGTTTTATTTTTTTTTAGATGGTATCATAAAAGTTTAAAAATACAATCCTTGTTTTCATTATACTCATATCGGATATATTATATCATATACTCTGTATTTATATTTCGAAAAAATCTTTTTTAAAATATGTTTATTTTATTTCGTGAGAAAATATAACACATGTGTTATATCAATAGTAGGCTTATAGTGCTACAGTCGTTTTTTACAAACACTGCTTTCTATCGAATTTTACCATCATCATTATTTGTGTTTCAAAACAAATACGTCTCCCCTCATGTGAAAATAATGTGTCTCCAAAATTGTTCTTATATACTTTGATTAAGTTATTTTGTTATCTATAGCTATCTTAATTGTTTTTATTCGATTTTTAAAAGCATTCTTCATTATTTATTTTTAACTCACAGTGTATTAAACGTGTTTAAATATGAATATAAATTTAATAAAAAGGGTAAAAAGAATAATGAGCAGTTACCATTTTTAAAGTTACGTTTGTTTTAAACTTTCCAAAAAGAATATTGTGAAAAGATTTATACTTTTTCAGAATGACGAGTATTCGCTGTTAAAATTATTATTTTGTAGTTTGTACTCATATTAAAATAGGTGACTAATGTCTGTAACTTTGTAAGCACACGATTATAATGTGTCCAAAATAATTTAACACAAGCCAAACAATTACACAGTGAGTGCTTCATAAACTATAGTCTTTACTTCAATTTTCTCCTCAGACGACAATATATTATAGTATAATACAATCATACAAAGTTATGAAGCCTGTACTAAATAGTTAATGTCAGGTATGTTACATATTCTCGGTAAACCCCTATTAATTTCTAAGAAACATCAGGATTTTCTTAACGTTTGTAGTTTCTATACATGTACATATATTTCGAAGAACTGTTATTATGTTAATTATTTATTTATTATAGTTTTTAAATTCTGTGTAGTTAGATTGCTTTAATATATTACAATGTTGTAATGTAATAATTGCATTATATGTCATGTTATGTTTTATAAGAATGTGTAATTAAAAAAAATTAATATTATTCATCAATTTTTTAGTTATTTAATAACTAGAGAAATTTACATTGTTCACCAAGTATTAATTAAAAATTTAGTTCTTATAGAAATAAAAAATACTAAAATTACAGTCACCTTTATATATATATAAGTGTTATAAAATATTAGCAAAATCAATTAAATGTGTTAATTATTTATAAAATTAATAACATTTCAAATTCTTTAAATGGTAGGTACTTTTTTCACAAATAAAAAACAGTTTAACATAAAGGTAGATTATTTTTTATGCGCGTTTAAAGTTAAAATTTGACAAAATCGGACGTAAACTACAAAATTATAATAACAGTATTTTCTTTCACGAACAGTTTTTAATTTTAAAAATATAAACTGAAGAAAGTTTAAACATTCTACTATAATTTCTATTGACTATTATTCTCAATATTCATCACAACATTTTTAAAATACATTTTATACCTCGGATCATATTCATTCCAAGCTAGGAAATTTCGGAATTGATTTACTAACTTCAAACTATTGGCATTTGAAATTTATTTTTTATTTTTATTCTTAGTCAAGTAGGTTAAAAATTTAATACAAGATTCCTCGTAGGTTATTTTTTTGGTATTTTAAAAAATAAAAACTACGTACAACTTTTTTTTTTTATATAAGATTTATCTTCAATTACAAATTTGTCATAGATGCAGATAATTAAATGAGTCTATTAAAAAATATATTGCAGGATTATTTGACTGTTTTAAACTAAAATTTATGTTACATATTTCTATATTTTTTTTACTTTTATTATATATTTTTGTTAAATATTCTGCTATTTATTAAAATAAAGAGTTTTAGTAATACCGCGAGTGATGTGTCACCGTTTAGCTTCACAAATTATTTGCTGCTTTGTTTTAAAATGTAAAATAATGGCAAAAATTGTTAATGTTATTTTATAATCATTTATTAAAGTATAATATATGAAATATGCTGTTTTCCAAAAAAATTAGTTTTAATGTACCAAACTGTATTGCTAATAGCTAAATAAATTATTAAATATTCTAAGAATTAAATATATCCATTATTATATTTTATTCAATGAAGAAATACCCACTCTTGAAACTTTTTACAACAGAGCTACTTCTCTGATCACATTTTTTACGTAGGTACATAGTACGTCGCAAAAAATATAAATACGTGCAAACTAAATTTATTTTGTTAATGTGCATATAATGAAAGGTATGTGTATTTTATTTATTTTTTTTATATTTTTGGCTGTAGGTTCGTATCCAAACTCAACCAGGATTTGCTAACACTTTAAGAGAAGCTTTACCGAAAATTCAACAATCTGAAGGATTGAATGGATTTTACAAAAGTTTAGTGCCACTATGGATGAGACAAATCCCTTACACCATGATGAAGTTCGCATGTTTTGAAAAGACTATTGAATTGCTGTACAAGTATGTAATTATTTTTATAGCATCATATAATATTTTATGATTAGATTATATATAGAAAAATTTACTTTAAGAAAAAATCTTTAGTAATTACCAGAATAAGTTAAAAAAGTCAAATTAATTTTTCGCGAACAAGTTTGACTAGTTATTTCTTTGTAATAGTTTTAATAGTCTCATAATTTTAATTAAATCACACTTGATTAATCAAAAATGTTTGTATTTCTTAATCTGAAATGAAATGAAACTTTAATTGGTAGTGATGGTCAGCCATTTATTATTGTGTCGACATCGTTACGATTTTTCCAATATTATTGTATCGCAATATTGTAAGTTAGATGATATTGATATTGTATCGAAAATACATATTTAAATATTACCTACTTAGTAATTAATACTTATTAGTTATTAGTTATTATTTATTATTCATTTAATTTAATAATTATCATACATAATTAAACATAAATATTGGATGATAATACACCAACCGTTATTGGCCGACAGATATTATTTATTGATTACACTGTACATACAATTTATTGAATCTATTAGCTTGGACTTACAAGTAAAATAATATCTGTACAAAAAATTTGTCACGATATTGATTATCGTATTGAATTATGGATATTGTTGCTCATCACTACTAATTAGGTATATTATTTTATATGGTATGATAATGGCTTCAAGTAGGTGTATCAGGTGGTTAATTTATTAGGTACATCATACATATTTAATTATTTAATAATATGTATTGTTTTAATAGTTATTAAATATTCATGTTGTAAGAAATTAGGTATTTACAGTGCAATAAATGTTTGTCTTTAGATATGTAGTGCCCAAACCTAGGGCAGAATGCTCTAAAGGTGAACAATTGATTGTGACATTTGGAGCTGGTTACATTGCTGGTGTATTCTGTGCTGTTGTTTCCCATCCTGCTGACACGTTAGTGTCTAAATTGAATCAGGCTAAGGGTGCGTCTGCTGGAGATATTGTTAAGAAAATTGGATTTATGGGTAAGTGTAGTTAAGTAGGTACATACAGTTTATGAAATATACAAACACCATACATGAACTGTAAGATTTTGTGATAAATATTATTTACTATAACCAATAATTTTGGAATTACTAATTTTTTTAAGAATCTACTTACATATTGTTTTTATAACATAAAATGAAATAATATTATTTATTTTATTTGTTTAAAATTTTACTAATGATATATTTTATTACCTAGGATTATGGCAAGGTTTGGGACCAAGGATTGTAATGGTAGGAACATTGACAGCCGCTCAATGGTTTATCTATGATGCAGTTAAGGTCTTCTTCAGATTACCCAGACCACCACCACCAGAAATGCCAGAGTCTTTGAAGAAGAAATTAGCCGTACAATAATATTATGTAATAACAATAATGATGGTTCTAGACAATATTGAGTTATTTAAAAAATATATTAAAAACTAGTTATTTAAAATGAATGCGTGTAATTGTGTTATAATACCTATAAAAATACCTATAGCGCAATGATATGGTACCTATATAGTATATATGAATATATTATTGCAAAGAGTAAAATATAGTTATATTTTTATTAGTTATATCGCAGGATTCGAGACTTATAGCACTTATAATTATCAAAATTAGCGCTTAAAAAAGCGCTTGAACACTGTAATATAAGTACTCAAATAAGCATTTAAAAAAATTAAAATAAGCAAAAAAAAGCTTAAAAAAACAATAAACACAATTTTTTTTCTGTGACACCGTTTAATTTTTAACATTTAAAAAAGTAAAAAAAATTTTTTATTTATTAATTTTTTATATTTACAATCTGTTACATAATAAAATTGAACAATTAGTAAAAGAGATAAATTAATAAAAAAAAAAGTGGCTTGGAGAAAGAACAGATTTAAGAAGTCTTCCAGTGAAGACACTTAATAAAAATAAATATATTTTTTTTAAACTTAAAACATTCTACCCTTTTTCAGTATTTGTGAACTTATTAACTTAAGTTATACTTCTTATGGATTTTCTGAAATAAATTTTAATTTATATGAGAATAGTCGAAGAAAAATAAATAAATTGTATAAAATAAAGATTTATTTAAAAATATTTCTTACCTTTATTGGGTTGAATAAATAAATGTTTTCTTAAGTTTTCAAACGTAAAAGCTTTTCTGTTGCTTAATAATATTGTTTTATAAGTAGAAAATGAGTTTTCGATATCAACGAAAGTGATAGGCGCCTATTTAAAGTATACTATATCGTCACTGGAGTAGTCATCGGGAAATTCACTGAAGTTGAATAACACACCGCCATCTTCCCCGTCAAGTATTTTATAATTGTCTCTAAATTTCCAAGACCAGTACTTTTTTCAAAAACTATTTGATTTTGTAGACATTTATGTAAATTTATATATTTTTTCAACTACCTTTATATAATCAAAATATAATTTAAATTGTGAAAACATATAACAAATTAGATCTTTTTTATATTATAATAAATAAGTTTAGTCCATAACTTTTATTTTATGTTATAAAATGTTTACATTAAATAAGATACTTACCTCTCAATTTAACATCCTATCAAAAATTTAATTTTAACATAAAAATAAGCTAAGAATATAATGGGTTTTTATGTTAACTCTTTATGATACTTACCTCTCAATTTAACATCCTATCAAAAATTTAATTTTAACATAAAAATAAGCTGAGAATATAATGGGTTTTTATGTTAACTCTTATCTATGTATTTAGTTTTTTTAAATTTAAACCAATCTTATTTTTAAGAATTTCAGATTTTTGAACAAAGCAATGAATAACGATTTTTAACAATAATGTGCATTTTTGGTATCTGTATATATGATATGAAGCATATAAATACATAGAATTTAAAAAGCATATACATTGGTAACGAATATATTTTGTTGTAACGAATTTTAAAATCAAATATGAAATATTGTTGTAACGTAATATTTATATATTATGAACGTTATAAAATATTTAACTCTGCAACTAAATCGAAAATATTTATTTGTTTTTTTTTTTAAATTATATTTGATTGTCTATATACATTACAAACATTTATAACTACGTATTGTAGTTTATAATTCATATCACGATTAGAATATTTAATCTAATACATCTAAATTCTGATGTAAATATTTTTTTTAAGTCAAAATGTATCTATCATAGATTTTTTCTGTGTTGAAGTTTCACAGTATCAACATTTATGTTCTGAAAAAATTATAGAACCCTAAGCTAACACAAGTTTAGGTACTTAAACACGACTCCGACTACATATAATGCGATGCTATGTACAAACTATGTTTATATACACATGTTGGTGGCCGGGGGGTGTGGCGTCTACATCTTGTTGGTTTAGCATGTTCGGTCGACAGTGTCATTAGCATACTTTACCGCGTGAAATTGGACGATTTAGAATACCGTATCGATCGCCTACCCGCCCATACTACTTTACCATAGTCTATACAGTATATATATATATATATATATATACACTTCAACTGCTTTTGTCGTAAGTATATACATTATACATGTCTGTGCGTATTGTTATACATACCATTTATATATGTATACACTTATTCTCGTGTTGGGGGAGTACGCCACCCTCTGCAAAGCGTCGGCGGTGACATCAACGGGCGACAGTGCGGAAAATAAACCTGTCAGTACTCGAGTTTTTAGAAAGACCGCGTCTCTAGAGGCGTTTCGCATTAACTCGGGTCTAAATCGGACGTGTGCAACGTAACGCGCACGCATACAGTTCATTTCTGGGTTTCGTGGGGGTTAGTACGAGGTTTTTTTCTCGTCTACGCGACAGGGTGATGAGGTGATTGGTATGGATGTGTACGGACACAGGAACAATGCGTGGGATCGGAAGTGTATTGGGTGGTAGCAGGGATGAAAACGGATATATATATATATATATAGAGAGAGAGAGAGATACGTAGAGAAATCCTGTATGCATGTGAGAGAAAAAGTTCGAAGGTATAAAGAGTAAAGAAAAGTGACCTATGACCCTTTCGCCGCCGTCGCGTCGCGCTACCATGGTTACCGGACAACGACCCTAAATGTGTCACATATACGCTACGACGGTTCTTCTGGCACCGGAATTGCCGTTGCACACAAATGCAAATAACATACATATACATAAATTTATTTTATTTGACACATGTTTTATTTCCCCTAGCCCGTCGACGCCTTGCTCACTAAGGTTTGACAGTCGCTATTATTTTTGTAGAACAACTACCCACCTCTACATGGTGTTATTAGTGTATGCTAATACCACTCTAAACCATTAGGTGGGTTATATAATATATGATATGTATAATCCTTACAGAATATAGATGGAGATTTGAGTAAATGTTGGGCTTGTTTTTTGGTAAATAAACCAAAATATTCATATAACCACACACGTCTAAAGGGATTCTCGAGGTATCACATTTATTCTTACAAATTCAGAATAATAAATCATTTATGAGAAATTACGACAGCCGAATATTTGTTTTCTTGGTGATTTGATTTAGAATAACATACATATTACACTACCGGAATAGATTGGTTATGACTTATTTTTTAATGAAAAAATATAGGAAGCGGTACCATTTAGTAAGAAACATACTAAAGTATTTAATATTGGTATTTTAAAAATAAAATTATGAACACAATGCATAATATAGATTAATGATTTTTTTATATATTTACTTTTTACTATAGAAAATAACAAAGAAGATATTATTAAAGTTACAAGATAAAAATGCTGTTCATAAGCAATACACACAATATACAATTTATCATATTAATAGTAATAATTTTTTTATACGTTTAATCATGTGTATACCAAATTAAAGGTATTTATTTCTAATACCTTTAAAAATATAAAGTACTTAATATCGTTGAATATATTTACTTAATCGTTATTTTATTTCATATTAACTGTTAAGCAGTATGCTTAAAATATGTGTTTATGTGTTTATTAAGAACATGGATAATAGAATATTTAACAATTAAGTATTAAATGTTAAGACATGAACTTAAATAATATGAGATAAAGTTTAAAAAACTGGTAATCAATGTAACTAATATTTTAAATGCACTGTATCTTACATCGTTAAAACAAATATTACTCGTAGCAAATTAATTATTATTATTTATTACTGCAAGGTAAATTGCTGCAGCACTATGGAATGCATACCTAGTTTATTTGCTGTTCAAACAACGCAACGATTATTCATACTTTTGTTTTACATTGGCCAAAGTTATGGTATGATTCACAAACCTCTCTACCTTTATTACAATATTAAACTACGATTGTCACGAAAATTATGAAACAGATTCATTATATTAAATGTAATTCCTCCTGTATACGTTTAGTTTTAAGGGGTCACCAAATTAACTATTTCGTTAAATAATCCTGATACTTTATTAAAAATCTGAAATATTTAAATATTTAAAGTTATTTAACTAAGTACATTACATTAATTAAATTATTAAATTTATTTCTACATATAAATCAAATGTCTAGTTTAGAGTAAATTTTAACTAGTTTTTGTCTTAGACAATTTTTTTTCTTGTGATAATCTATTTAGACGAAGACCACAATATATACGTTATATTATGGTTTAATTAATAGTAATTACCTATACGTAATAAAATAAGTTTCACGTCAAAAAAAAAAAAAATATAGGTAATTTAATTTGAACATTTGTACGAGTTTCTTAAAAAAATATTAAATAATTTCTTATTAGTATTCTTGTTGTTGTAGATGGATTTGTTTTTTTTTTTAAATAAATTATAATTCGTATCAGCTGTTTTTTTTTTTTTAATACACGAGACGGTTTTTATAAAATAATTAATGTAACGATAATTAAATCAAAAACAATGATATAGTTGGAAAAAAGAATAAAGAAGGTTACTCTACTAAACAATTGATATCGAGTAATATAAAACCGTTAACGTAACTTAGACATCCGTTAAATAAAAAAAAAATTATTTTTCCGTAAAAATTTGTGTTGTTCTATGAAATTTTTTAGTTTTCCATGATAATTTAGAAAATTCTGATAGTTTTTTTACTCTTGGCTCACTATAAAAATTATCAGTTAAAATTTTAAAGAATATTGAAGCATTTTTACTGCTCCAATAATGAAAAAATCATATCATAGCAAAACTAATAAATGCTTGTATTATTTTGCATGAATCATTTACATCAAATTAATTTATATGTATATTGTAAAGAGTAGAATTTTTTCCACGAATTTATGATTACACCAGAATGGATTTAGTTAAAAATTCCCGGTTTTCCTAACTTTTTTCCCCGCTTATTTTGTTAATTACTGAAATTTGTTTAATTTGATCCCTAAAACACCAATCTTGGTCCTATTTTCTAACAAATACCACCATCAAAATTGAAAATAATTTTATTGCTTTAAATAATGGAAATAAA